AAAGTGACAGATATGGAAAAATCACTCAAATTAAACCAAAGGGAAATTCAAGAGCAAGCAGATAATGCTAAAAAATTTAACCTTCGCATAATCGGAGTGGACGAAGGTGAGGAATTCCAGAGCAAGGGAATGCAACACCTATTTAACAAGATAGTCAATGAAAATTTTCCCCACCTCAAAAACGACCATCTTAACTACATCACAAAAGCTTATCGAACACCCAACAAGCAAGATCCCAGGAGAAACACTTCTAGGCACATAATAGTAACAATGATGGATCTGAATAATAAGGAAACAATCCTGCATGCAGCAAAAATGAAGAAGGAGCTATACTACAACGGGAAAAAAATTAGAATCACTGCAGATCTCTCCACACAAACAATGAATGCAAGAAAAGCCTGGGAAAGCACCATACGAGCCCTGAGAGCCAATAACTGCCAACCCAGACTGATATACCCGGCAAAGCTAGCATTCACATTCGATGGAGAACTGAAAACTTTTAATAGCAAAGAAAAACTAAATGAATACATAAACATTAAGCCAGCATTACAAAGAATTCTAAGAGGGGGGACACAACCTGAAGAAAGCAACCAGGAACTGGGACCTGCCCCAAACAGGCATTACTCAAAGTCTAACTGAGCAAGCACAGGAGGAAAGGAAAGAAGAAAAACTTAGGAAAACGGAATGGCAGGGACAACAATGCATCTCTCTATACTTTCTCTTAATATAAATGGGCTGAATTCGCCAATTAAAAGAAAACGAACTGAGGACTGGATCAGAAAACAAGACCCATCCATCTGTTGCCTTCAGGAGACCCACCTCTCAGCCAAACATACAAACAAACTCAGAGTGAAGGGGTGGAAAAGGATCTACCAATCAAATTCCCCCAATAAGAAAGCAGGTGTAGCTATCCTGATATCTGACAAAATAAACTTTTCATTAAAATCAGTACAGAAAGACAAGGACGGACATTACATATTAATAAAGGGAACAATCCAAGAGGAGGATATAACCATCATCAACTTATATGCCCCAAATATCGGTGCACCCAGATATGTTAAACAAATGCTCTCAAACTTACAGAATAAAATAGATCCCAATACGATAATACTAGGAGACTTTAACACGCCACTCTCACCAAAGGACAGGTCTACCAACCAGAGGATTGGCAAAGAAGCTACCGAATTAAGTGAGGCCATACTTCAAGCGGAATTAACTGACATCTACCGAGTATTTCACCCTAAAACAACACAGTACACATTCTTCTCAGCAGCTCATGGAACTTTCTCCAAAATAGACCATATCATAGTTCATTCAAGGAACTTAAGCAAATACAAAGGGATCGACATAATCCCCTGTATCCTATCTGACCACAGTGGAATCAAGCTAGCTCTCAATAACAAAGCATACCGCAGAAATTTCTCTAATACATGGAAATTGAACAGCACACTCCTTAACAAGGCCTGGGTAACAGAAGAGATCAGAGAAGAAATAAAGCATTTCCTAGAACTCAATGAAAATGAAAACACCTCACAAAGAAACTTGTGGGACACAGCAAAAGCAGTCCTGAGGGGCAAATTTATTGCCCTCAGTGCCCACATCAAGAGAATGGAGACAGACCAAGTAAATAATCTCATGTTGCAACTAAAACAGCTAGAAAAACAAGAAAAAATGGGACCTAAAGCTACTAGACGAAGCCAGATAACCAAATTGAGAGCAGAGATTAACCAATTAGAAAATCAGAAAACCATAACCAAAATAAACCAAACAAAAAGCTGGTTCTTTGAAAAAATAAACAAAATTGATGGCCCGTTGGCAAGATTAATTAAAAAAAGAAGAGAGGAAACCCATATTAATAGGATTAGGGATGCCACGGGAAACATCACAACACGTACCCAAGATATCCAAACAATTCTAACAGACTACTTTCAAAAGCTATACTCTCTAAAGGAAGAAAATCTGGCGGAAATGGATGCATTTTTAGAGAAATACAAGTTACCCAAACTGAGCAAAGAAGAAGTTAACCAATTAAATAAGCCAATATCCTATAATGAGATACAGGAAGCTATCAAAAGTCTTCCAACAAAAAAAAGCCCAGGACCAGATGGATTCACAGCAGAATTCTATAAGACCTTTAAAGAAGAACTAATACCCATACTCCTCAAGCTCTTCAGAGAAACAGAGAAGGAGGGAGCTATCCCAAACTCATTCTACGAAGCCAATATCACACTCATCCCCAAACCAGGCAAAGACCCAACCAAAAAGGAGAATTACAGGCCAATCTCCTTGATGAACACAGATGCAAAGATCCTTAACAAGATTCTAGCTAACAGAATCCAGAAACACATAAAAAAAATAATACACTATGATCAGGTAGGCTTCATCCCAGAGACACAGGGATGGTTTAACATACGTAAGTCAATAAATGTAATCCAGCATATCAACAGAGCCAAGGTCAAGAATCACATGATTATCGCCACAGATGCAGAAAAGGCCTTTGATAAAATTCAACATTCATTCATGCTAAAAGCTCTGGAGAAAATAGGAATAGAAGGAACATTTCTAAAAACAATAAAAGCCATTTATGACAGACCAATAGCCAATATTATACTTAATGGGGAAAAGCTACAACCAATCCTCCTAAAAACAGGAACAAGGCAAGGATGTCCACTGTCTCCACTCCTCTTCAACATAGTCCTAGAACCCTTAGCCAGGGCAATAAGGCAAGAAAAAGACATTAAAGGGATCCGCATAGGGAAAGAAGAAGTGAAACTATCCCTTTTTGCAGACGACATGATACTATACCTCCACGATCCCAAAAACTCCATCCCCAAACTTTTAGAAATCATAAGTCACTTCGGCAAAATAGCAGGATACAAAATAAACCCACAAAAATCAGTTGCCTTCCTATACACTGATAACGCACAGGAAGAGAGGGAAATAAAGGGAGCAACCCCATTCACAATAACCTCCCAAAAAATAAAATATTTAGGAATTAACCTAACCAAAGATGTAAAAGAACTATTTAATGAGAACTATAAAAAGTTAAAGAAAGAAATTGCAGAAGACACTAGGAAATGGAAAGACCTCCCATGCTCCTGGATAGGCCGACTTAATATAGTAAAGATGGTGATACTTCCAAAATTAATATACAAATTCAATGCAATTCCTATTAAAATCCCAATGACGTACATCACTGAAATACAGAAAACAGTCCAAAAATTTATATGGAACAACAAAAGACCTAGAATAGCCAAAACAATTCTAGGGGATAAAGACAATATGGGAGGGCTATCCATGCCGAACTTCAAACTCTACTACAGAGCTATAATCACAAAGACAGCATGGTACTGGCACAAAAACAGACCCGAAGACCAATGGAACAGAATAGAAGATCCAGATATAAATCCACAGGCCTACAGCCAGCTGATATTCGACAAAGGAGCCAAAGACATACAATGGAAGAAACACAGCCTCTTCAACCGCTGGTGCTGGGAAAACTGGGCAGCCACATGCAGAAAACTAAAAGTGGACCCCAGCCTATCACCATGCACCAACATCAACTCAAAATGGATTAAAGACCTTAACATTAAACCTGAATCTCTGAAACTACTGCAGGACAGAGTAGGAGAGACACTTGAACTAATAGGCACAGGAAGGAACTTCCTGAACAGAGTCCCAGGGTCACAACAAGTTGGAGAGAGACTCGACAAATGGGACTACCTTAAAATAAAAAGCTTCTGCACAGCTAAATCTATCGCAACTAAGCTAGAAAGACAACCAACTAATTGGGAAAAAATATTTACCAGCAATATATCAGACAAGGGGTTAACATCCTGTATATACAGGGAACTCAAGAAACTAATCCCTCCCAAACCTAACAAACCAATTACTAAATGGGCAAGGGAACTAAAGAGGGACTTCTCAAATGAAGAAATAAAAATGGCAAAGAAACACATGAGGAAATGTTCATCATCCCTGGTGGTGAAGGAAATGCAAATAAAGACAACCCTGAGATACCACCTTACCCCAGTCAGAATGTCCCACATCCACAAATCAGCCAACGACAAATGCTGGAGGGGATGTGGAGAAAGAGGAACCCTATTACACTGCTGGTGGGAATGTACACTTATACAACCACTTTGGAAAGCAGTCTGGAGGGTCCTTAGAAAGCTAAAGATTGACCTCCCTTACGACCCAGTCATACCACTTCTAGGCATCTACCCTGAACAACAGGAACCAATATACAAGGACACGTGCACCTCCATGTTTATTGCAGCACTGTTCGCAATAGCTAGGATATGGAAACAACCTAGGTGCCCCACCACAGATGAATGGATCCAAAAATTGTGGTATCTATACACAATGGAATATTATGCAGCCATTAGAAATGACAAAATAATGGCATTTGCAGGGAAATGGATGGAGCTAGAAGGAATCATGTTGAGCGAGGTAAGCCAAGAACGAAGAGACAAACGGTACATGGTCTCCCTCATAAGTGGATGCTAAATCCAAAAGGTTAGTGATACGACAAAACTAACAGGACTTAAGAAACAAAGAACTCCCGCTCATCTGGTTGAACCACTACTAAATATCCTCATGCTGCTGATCACAAATATGGTATATAACATGTGAACACTGTTATATATTACAGACTGTGGTAGACAATTTGCTCCAGGGAAGTTAGAATGAACTTGTGACTTTGAAATTATGTAATCATTTAATCACAATCAAAAAAAAAAAAAAAAAAAAAAAGAACCTCGGGGAAGGGAGGGAGGGAGGGGATGGTAGGGGGAAAACAATGGAGGGGGTAACAATGTTCAAGAGGAAGTGTACTCATAACCTCACTCATGTAACTGTGACCCTCTGTATAGTAGCTTTACAATAAAAAAAAAAAAAAAAAAAAAAAAAAAAAAACTCAAGGGACCATGTCACTTGGACACTTGCTGAGTGCCTTTCTGGGGACAGTGGTGCTCACCCCTGGCCAGGGGCGTCCTTACTTGCACAGGTGTACGCAGACAGGGCCCACGTCAGTGCACTCACAGCTCCCGAGTCTTGAGCCTTCCACAGATACTGGAGCTGGGCAAACTTACTGGCTGCGCTGATGAAGGTACACAAATTCTGTGGCAGATAAAATGTGAGAAAGTCAGGAGCGTATCTGTTTTTAAAACAAAACAACACAAAGCCAAGTGGGGCACTGGTGGCGCATGCCTGTAATCCCAGCTACTTCAGAAAGATTTCAGTTCCTAGTCAGCCCAGGCAGACAAATCTGAGAGACTCTTATCTCCAATGAACCATCAAAAAAGCCAGAAGTGGTGCCCTGGGTCAAGTGGTAGGATGCCAGTCTTGAGCGGAAAAAGCTAAAAGATGGTGCCCAGGCCCTTAGTTCAAGCCCCAGTATTAGCACAAAAAGAAAACAAAAATGCCACGTATTTAAGTAAGAATACTGTCTTTTAGTACTTGGGCTGGGTCAGGGACGTGGGGAGCAGAGAAAACGCCTGTTTCTTGTTTCCAAGGAGCGTCACTCACCATGGCCAGGTCGATGATCCACTTCTGCAGGCTGAGAACGAACCAAGACAACACGAATCTTATCAAGAGCTAAGGGGCATGGCGGGGTGGCTGGCAGCCCCCCCCCCCCCCCAATCTGGAGCAGACCCAGACCATGGCGGGGGGAGGAGATAGCTGGGCTACAATTGGTCTCACTTAGAAAAGATAAAGGGGCTGCAAGCGAACACTACTCGACGTCCAAAAGAACAGAAGCGGATTACAGAGGACAAACCCAGTCCCCTGGGTTCCTAGACTGTTCCTGGGGGACTGGAAATGCAACTGCCTGCTGACTTCCCGGTGCACAGGAGAGGGGGGTCGAAGGCGCCCAGAGTAGACCTCTCTCATCCTCTGTTCCAGCCGCCTCCTACATGCCATCTTCATACTCGAGGAGACAGCTGTTAGCCTCACTGAGCCCATTAACTACATGAAAGGATTGAAATAAATAGATGATGCCTTGTGTCTGACTCGAAGGTCAGCAGCGCTGAACTCTAGCAGCCGAGTTCTGGCAAGAAGGCAGCCTGGATGCTAATGGCTGAAACTTTGTTTTCAAACTTCCTGGCCGAATTCTGGCCCATCCCACCCCTTTCTATCTAAATATCCAAATACAGGCACAGTATTTGGAACATGTGACCAGTAGAAATGGCTGGTGAGCCATCCGACTCAACTGGGGATTTGCCCACAAAGAGAGAGGATGCACCCGATGCTGCTGGCTCCCGCCTGCAATCCTAGCTACTCAGAAGGTTGAGGATCATGGTTTGAAGCCGGTCCATGCAGGAAAGTTCATAGGACTCTCATCTCCAGTGAACCACCAGAAAGCCAGAAGTGGAACTGAGGTTCAAATGGTAGAGCTCCAGCCTTGAGCAAAAAAGCTAAGGGACAGAGCTCCAGGGGCCCTGAGTTCAAGTCTCAGTGTTAGCCCAAAGACACTCAGTTAAAATGGAATGAACATATCCTGTGCCATAATTCCCTGATTGCTGCTGCTGCTGCTGCTTCTTCCTCTTCCTCCCCCTCCTCCTCCTCCTCCTCTTCCTCCTCCTCTTTCCACCAGTTGTGGGGCTTGAACTGTGGGCCTGGGCGCTGTCCCTGCGCTCTTCAGCTCAAGGCACGCACTCTACCACTTGAGCCACAGCACCACTTCCAGTTTTCTGGTGGTTCATTGGACTTTCTCATGGACTTTCCTGCCCGGGCTGGCTTTGAACCGTGATGCTGACCTCAGCTTCCTGAGTAGCTAAGATTACAGGCGTGAGCCACCATCATCCAGGTTTTTTCTTCTTGTTTTTCTTTCTGGATCTGGGGCTGGAACTGGTGCCCGCTAGGCCTGGGCACAACCACTGGGCCCCAGCTGCCTCCCCCCTGCAATCCCATCCCATTCTCGGATGCTGAAAGGATACCCAGCCAGGTAGGGTACGGCCTGCTTCACGTTCCCATTAAAATGAAAGACACACAGCAGGAGGATGACATCTGAAAGGAGACTCAGTGAGTAGAGGAAGGGGGGGGTGGGGGAAGGGGGGGGCGGGGGGTGTGGATGGGCTTTCTGGTACCTTGGGCAATGAGAATGGGGTACTCCAGGTAGGTGAGCAGTGGGTTCTCATAGTAACACTGGTAGCGAAGGAAGACCAGGAACCTGAGGAGAGGCCAGCACATGTTCACAGCCCAGCCTGCGCTGGCTGCACCCCACACAGACCCCACACAGCGGCCATCTTATTGCCAAATGCTAGCGCAGGCCCTGAAAAGCCAGAGTGTCAAGAAGCTTCCAGTTAAATGGCTGCAAAGAGTCAGTGATGGGGGAGCATCCACTACTTGCTAGGGGAGGGGCTGGGCTGAGCGCAATATCCATGACTGCTGTCGGGTCCTTGAAGAGGTTGTTCACAAGACGCTCACGCGGCTCATGTGGTAGAGTGCCTGCCTAGCCAGATACAGGCCCCGAGTTCAAACCCTACTGCTACCATAAGAAGGAAATGAGCTGAGCCAGCACCGGCGACTCACACCTGTTATCCTGGCCACTCAGGAGGCTGGGATTTGACACTCACAGACCAAAGCCACCCCAATCAGTGAAGCACGTGAAACTCTTATCTCCAATTAACCACCAAAAGGCTGGAAGCAGAGTGGTGGCTCAAGTGTAAATTGTTAGCCATGAGCACAAAAGCTCAGACAACGCTCAGGCCCGAAATTCAAGTCCCAGGAAGGACCTGCACAACCCCCCCCCCCCCCACACACACAAAGGGAAATCAAATCAAAAGGACATTCACGTGGCCAAGCCCTGAACAGGATCCCCAGGGACTAGCGTGCTGCAAAGCCAGCCTCTGCGGGACACAGTGGGAACAACTTGCTGTGACCCTGAGGGGCTCACAGACAGGCTGGCAATGTCCCCACGGGACGGCTGCCGGGGGGCTGCTGAGGGGCTGGTCCAGCTAGCATGGCCTTCCCCGTGCTGCCCAGTGGAGGAGGGCAGAGGGAACGCAGAGGAACACCTGCGTTCCTCCAAGAAAATCCCAACTGTGTGTGTCAGGCCCCAGGCCCCTGCCCTTCCAGAGTGAAGGCTGAGCCTCCTCCCTCAGACCAATGCCCCAGCACCCTCCTCCTGCTCAGGCTACCCAGCAGGGTAGTGTGTGTGTGTGTGTGTGTGTGTGTGTGTGTGCACTCAGGGCCTGGGTGCTGTCACTCAACTTCTTTGATCAAGGCTAGCGCTCTGCCACCAGACCCACAGCTCCACTTCCAGCATTGGAATGGTTAATGAGACAAGAGTCTCATATACTTTCCAATCCAGGCACCCAGGCCCTGAGTTTGAGGCCCAGGACTGGTATCAAAAAGAATGGAAGGAAGGAAGGAAGGAAGGGAGGGAGAGGAGGAAGGGAGGGAGGGAGGAAAAAGAAGGAAAGAAGGAAGGAGAAAGGAAGAAAGGAAGGAAGAGCAAGAAGAGAGGAAGGAGGAAGGAAGGAAGGAAGGAAGGAAGGAAGGAAGGAAGGAAGGAAGGAAGGAAGGGGAAGGAGGGGGGAGGGAGGGAGGAGAGAAGGCAGGGAGCCAGCATCCTGCAGAGCAGGCTCTACTGTTTCTAGGAATGAAGACAGTTCTTGCTCTCCCTCCAGGTGCGCATTAAACAGGTAACTGAATACAGTGCCGGGTGAGTGCCGATGGGTGAATGAACGTAGAGTAAGGAGAGAACACCGGGCACCGTTACAGTAAGTGGCTGGAGATAGGAGGCAGAGGAATTCAGAGGTGAAGCTGACCGCTTCCGCGGGCCGGGGGGGGGGGGGGGGGGGGGGGGGGGTCTGCCTGGGCGGAAGTTCGAGCCTTTGGTTGACGTCCGCTTTGCGCTGCGGCACCACAGTCTAGAACCCAGGCCGCAAATGCGCCGCGCTCCTCCAGGGGCGCCCCCGCGCAGGGCTGGCTCTGCTGGGTGACCCCAGGTTGGGGAGGAGCCCTCTCCCCTGGGTCCCCGCCATGGACGGCCTGGCGTTTCTCTTTCTTCTTTGTGTCAGGTCTGAGGCCGGGACTCGCACTCAGCCCCCGCAGGCCTGCTCGCGGCTAGAGCTCCGCCAGCCGGGCCACCCCCGCTCGGCGTTTTCAGGGCAAGGCGACGCGGCCGCGCAGCCGCTGCGTTCCGTCCCCGTGGCGGGCTGCCTGGGCCGCGGGCGCGCTTCTGCAGGCCCCCAGCCAGCCGGGCACCGGGGCCGAATCCCCGGCTTCCCGCACCCTCATTCCCGGTCTCCCCGGACCCGCCAGCCGCTTGGCACCCCCACCTCTCCAACCCTCCCACCTCCGCCCGGGGTAAGATCGTTCATCCGACCAGGGACGCACCCACCCCCGACGTCCGCCCGCACCCCGGCCGGAGGCGCGGGGCGGGGCGGGGCGGGGCGCGGGGCGGGGCGGGGACCGCGGGGCGGGGCGCGGAGCCAGGCTCCGCCCCACCCGGTCGGGGAGCGAGACCGAGCGCACCCGGGGCGGATCCTCTCATCACGCCCATGGTCCAACCACAAGTTTCCCAACTCCGCCTCCCCGCGCCCGCTCGCGTCCCCTCCGGTCCCCGCCTGGGGTCCCCCCCCCACCCCCGCCCGGGTTCCCCCCCTTGGTCGGAACCCCGACCCGGGCCGCCGTGCCCCTCGGGCTTGGAGACGACGCGGGAGCGCCGAATGGAAAGGTTTCGCAGCCGGCCGGGCAGAGCGGTCCCGGACGGATCTCCCCCGGCCCGGCTCGCCCCGGGGAAGCGCCGCCCGGCCCCAAGCCTCCCGCCCGGCCCGAGCGTGGCCCGCGGTCCCCCGCGGCTCACCCTGCCAGCTCCAGGAGTAAACTCGGGAGGCTGAGGCCCCGCGCGCTGCGCGCCGCCAGCTGCGCGTGGATCTGCGGCAGCTTGAGCGCGGCGCACACGACCAGCGTGCTCCAGTTGCAGAACCACAGCAGCGCCGCCTCCATGGTCCCGGCCGGGCAACGCGGGAGACGCGGTGGGAGCCGCGGCGTTACCGCCCAAGGCTACCTACCCGCAGCCCTTCCGCCTTCCCGCCCGCCCCGGCCGGCCCGGTGCACACCCCCGCCCCGCACCACGCCCTGACACGCCACGCCCCTGTGACACGCCTCCATACAGCCCCACCCCCAGGCTCCCATTGGTCGCATCCGCGCCGCTTCAGGGCACAGCATCCGTGCTCGCTCCGCCCCTGGTGCGGCCACGCCCCCGATTATCCGCCCACGTCCGATCCACGCCCCCTTCGCCCCGCCCCCGGGCGGTGACTCACCCGCGCTGCGCCGCCGGCTGCTGATTCATTTTTCCGCCCCGGGTTGTTTGGGGCGCCGGGAAACGCCCAGACCGGCCCGCCTGTCTCCACGGCGGACCGAGGGCACCCCTTTGTGGGCGTGTGTGATTCTGTTGTTTTCCACTCTCTACAAGTGTTCTGCGTTTTAAAGCACTTCTGAGATTGAAAACTTTTCTAACAACTCCAAGTTCAGCTGCGAGCATCCTCCCCGGGCCTGGCGGCAGCTCCTGGGACCCGACCCGGCCGTTCGCCAGGTGATCCACGCACACGCGCACGTGCGCGCACACACACACGCACCCAGGGCCAGATCCTCCCGACCCTGGTTCTGAGCCGGGCCTCTCAGCCTCCTCTGCCCACCCTGAGCCCCTGGTAGTGGGAATCCAGAATGGGCTGCATCCTCCCCTTCCAGGCTAAATGAGAATAGCAAGCTTAGAAGGAAATATGTAAAAAGGAATTGAATCCCTGCCCTGATTTGATTAGTGATCAGTGACAAGCTTTGCTCTTAAGGAAACCCAAGCGTTTTCATACCTTTGATAACTTCTTGCCTTAAATCAGTTACTACTATGATTGAAATAAAGTGATTTTTTTCTATTACTATTTTATTGTGTGTTCAATAGAAGAGTTCTTCAATACTTGAGCTTTTAAAAATTGTCAGGGTTGGGTGGCGGTGCACATCTGTAATGCCCAGTGCTTGGGAAGCTGAGACAGGAGAATCAGGAGATACTTCTCAGAACAAAACACTGGTATGAGGCTATGGATGCTTTATTATTGTTGCTGTTGTTATTCTTTGTGTGCCCATCATGGGACTTGAACTCAGGGCCTGGGCACTGTCCCGTAGCTTTTGCATTCAAAGCTGGCACTTTATCCCTTGAATCACAGGTCCATTTTTGACTTTTTGCTGGCTAATTGGAGATAAGAGCCTCACAGACTTGCCTGCCCCGGCTGGTTTTGAACTACGGTCCTCAGATCTAAGCATCCTGAGAAGCTTACAGGCCGCCAGCTTCCCTTTCTTTCTTTTTGCGGTTCTGGGGTTTGAAGTCAGGACCTGAAGTCCTCATCTTTAGTTACGGTTCAGGAGATGTCCAGGTGTGCTGGCCGTGTGAAGCAGAGGTGCAGAGGTCGGAAGCAAGGGAGGCACTCTTCTGGGAGGCCCTGGGCGCCTCGGCTCCCGAGTCCAGTCCGCAGTGGAGCCCTGCTGTTGCTCAGCCCGAGGCTGCTGAGATGCCCCCATGCGCTCTGCTGATAATCCAGGTATGCTTCTGCGGGCCTGCCCTGCAGCCTCGTGGCCGCTTTTCCAAACCTGGGGCAAATCGGCCTCCTGCCCCTCCTGGTCCATCCCGCCTGCTTTTTCGAGCCCCAACAAGACAAGCCCCTGCCTCAGGAACCTGGGGGCAGCTGCCAGTCTGTCCTGATTCCCTCGGCCCTGGCGAGGAGGAGGTCGGAAGTGGCAGATGGGGCAGGGAGTGGTGAGCGGAACACACAGGTGGGCGGCTCATGCGCTCAGACAGACGCTGTGCCGGGGCCTGGTGCTGATGATCGGGGAGAGAAGATGCTGCCACGGGAGAGAAAGAAACGCAGCCAGGGGGATGCTTTGTGTGGTCCTAAGCCGTTCAGTGTGTGGCTCCTTGTTACCAGGCAACATTGGGCGCCCCTTATCTAGACGGGAACCGGGTAAAGGGGGAGCGTCAGGACGGGGCAGGACCCAGCCGGGGACCCAGCTCCCGGCACCCCTGAATCCCACACCCACGCCCACACCCACCTGCGGGGGGCGGGTCCTGCTCCTACACCGGCTGCAGTTCCTCCTCCAGCTTCCTCTTGCGAGCCCCCTCCGAGAAGAGCAAGTAATCCATGCGACTGAGGGCCCTCCCCAGCGGGGTGTCCACCCTGCTGCCCACCACCTGGTTGGAGGAGTTGGGAACTGTGTCCGAGAAGAGAGACACGGACTCCGGCAACCTCTCTGGCTCCTTCTTATTGCCCTGAGGGGAGAGGCCAGCTCAGGTCATGGCTTTGTGACAAGCGCCTGGGTGGCTGTCACCTGCCAATCCTGAGATCCGGGAGTCAGGGTCTGAAGCCAACCCAGGCAGGAAAGTCTGCAAAACTCTTCTCTCCAATTAACCAGCAAAGAACTGGACGTGGAGCTGTGGCTCTCGGTGGTAGAGCTCCAGCCTTGAGCACAAAAGCTAAGGGACAGCACCCGGACCCTGCGTTCAAGCCCCAGTAACCCCTAGGCCCACCAAGGCCCTTCCTGCAGTAGAGACCCTTAGGGTGAAAGGAGACAGAACAGACCCCCTCTGACCCAGCAAGTGTTCCCTGAGTGCTTCACCCTTGCTTGGATTGGGACAGACAAGGATGGCACCATTCCACAGCCTCTGCCACCTGGCCGCCCAACTCTCTGTGACCCCGCTGGCTCCTCCTCTTCCTCCCGTGCCAGCACTGGGGCTTGAACTCCGCCTGGGTGCTGTCTCTTAGCTTTTTTGCTCAAGGCTAACACTCTGCCATTGGAGCCAGAGCTCCACTTCGGGCTCTTTGATGGTTAAATAGAGATGGTCTCACACACTTTCCTGCCTGGGCTGACTAGGAATGATGATCTTCAGATCTCAGCATCCTGCATAGCTAGCACGACAGGCGTGAGCCACCCTCTACTGGCTGCAGACTTTGCCTTTCTTAACACAAGATTACTTTATCCACCACCTCTGTACATGTTGGAAGAAAAGAAGGAAGGGAGGGAGAGAGGAAGGGAGGGAGGGACAGCGAATTCATCTTACCATTGGGTCATAGTCTTTCAGGAACCCCCATTGCTCAGTCCTGGAAAGGAAAAGCACAGCGGCAACATGACTTGTCTCTGGGACATTAAGACCAACTTGTAGCATATCAACTGTACAAGTCCATGTCACTGCATGTCATCATGGAAGCACTAAAATAATTTGTGATCAGACAAAGGCCTCGAGTATTCACCAAGTATTTTGGGTGCATCCTACAATGTGAACACATGTTTCCAAGACTGGAGATTCCTGCGGAGGTAACTCTGTGGCGAAGGTAATCAGTTTTTCCCTCCCTCCAGGGACCATTGGACTTTGTCAGGGCCCCAGTAGAAGACCTCAAGAGTTCTCTGAAGAAGAAAGGCCCCTTTTCACATCCCCAGACCATGTGCTCACAAGGAATGGAAGAGAGAGATGGCAATGAGGATGTCTACCAGCAGTGGCAGTTCCATTTTTACTGGAGTCTTTTTTGGGGGTGGGGGGAAGAGGGCACTGGAGTTTGATCTTGGAGCCTTGCACATGCTTTAACACAGAGCCTCATCTCCAGTGCACCCCCCCTTTTTGCACTGATTGTTTGGAGATCGGATTTTGCTTCTTGCAGGGAATATGCTTGGATCTGGAGCTCTCAGCCTGAGCCTCTCACACAGCTAGGGTGTCATGTCAGGTTATGTTGATGAAGAAAGGCTCTCATAACTGGGCACCTGTGGCTCATGCCTCTAATTTCTAGCTCTGCAGGAGGTTGGGCCTGGAAGACAGAGGTTTGAAACCAGCCTGAGCAGGAAAGTCTGTGAGACTCTTATCTCCAACTTATTAAAGTTACCAAGAAGAAGGGGGGGAGGGGGAGGAGGAGGAGGAGGGGGAGGAGGAGGAGGAGGCAGTAGCCGCCGGAAGTGGAGCGGTGGCTGGAGAGGCGGAGTGCTGGTCTTTTTCTTTTCGTTTTTTAGAATTGTGATTTCTTTGGTTTTCTCTGGAAATCCCCCCGGGCCGTGGCCTGCCACCTCCCCTGAGAGGCTGCTGCCAGTGCCTTCAGCTCGCTAACGAATCCGTTCGTCGTTGCTGCGCCCTCGCTGTCCCTGAGCTTTGGGCTCCGGGCTGGTTTTCTGCCTTTGGAGCTTCGGCTCCATCTGCCTTCTGGGGGTCAGGTGGAGTACAAAGGTCGCGAACGTTCCTGGCCGGGTCCGGCTTTGAACCGCGGTCCCTCCATCTCAGCCTCCCGAGTAGGACCGCAGAGGTGAGCGGCTCCACCTGCTTAGTAAAACCGCCGGGTCCCGGGCCTCGCGCCCCGCGGTGCCCCTCCGCCAGTCCCCGCGGTGCCCCTCCGCCGGGCCCCGCGCCCTGCGCCCCGCGGTGCCCCTCCGCAGGCCCCTCCACCGCGCCCTGCGCCCCGCGGTGCCCCTCCGCAGGCCCCTCCGCCGGGCCCCGCGCCCCGCGGTGCCCCTCCGCAGTCCCCTCCGCCGGGCCCCGCGCCCTGCGCCCCGCGGTGCCCCTCCGCCGGGCCCCGCGCCCCGCGGTGCCCCTCCGCAGGCCCCTCCACCGCGCCCCGCGCCCTGCGCCCCGCGGTGCCCCTCCGCAGGCCCCTCCGCAGTCCCCTCCGCCGGGCCCCGCGCCCTGCGCCCCGCGGTGCCCCTCCGCAGGCCCCTCCGCCGGGCCCCGCGCCCTGCGCCCCGCGGTGCCCCTCCGCAGGCCCCTCCGCAGTCCCCTCCGCCGGGCCCCGCGCCCCGCGGTGCCCCTCCGCAGGCCCCTCCGCCGGGCCCCGCGCCCTGCGCCCCGCGGTGCCCCTCCGCAGGCCCCTCCGCCGGGCCCCGCGCCCTGCGCCCCGCGGTGCCCCTCCGCCGGGCCCCGCGCCCAGCCGCCGCGAGCCTGGTGCCCCAATGCAGGCCCCGCGCCCTGCGCCCCACGGTGCCCCTCCGCCGGGCCCCACGCCGGGCCGCCGCGAGCCTGGTGCCCCAATGCAGGCCCCGCGCCCCGCTCCGCCAAGCAGATGCTCGCAATGCCCGACCGCCCTCGGCCGCCCCTCCCCGCCCTCTCCTCGCCCCTCCTCTCCGCCTTCCCGCCCCTCCCCGCCCTCTCCTCGCCCCTCCTCTCCCTCTCCCCGCCCCTCTCCTCGCCCCTCTTTCCTTCCTCGCACCTCTCCCCGCCCCGCCCCTCTCGCCCTCCCCGCCCCTTCCCCGCCCCGCCCCTTCCCCTCCCCACCCCTCTCGCCCTCCCCTTCCCTGCCCCGCCCCTTCCCCTCCCCGCCCCTCTCGCCCTCCCCTTCCCCGCTCCGCCCCTTCCCCTCCCCGCCCCTCTCGCCCTCCCCGCCCCTCTCCCCGTCCCGCCCCTCTCGCCCTCCCCGCCCCTTCCCCGCCCCGCCCCTTCCCCGCCCCGCCCCTCTCCCCGTCCCGCCCCTCTCGCCCTCCCCGCCCCTTCCCCGCCCCACCCCTTCCTCGCCCCGCCCCTTCCCCGCCCCGCCCCTTCCCCGCCCCGCCCCTTCCCCGCTCTGCCCCTTCCCCGCCCCGCCCCTTCCCCGCCCCGCCCCTTCCCCGCCCCGCCCCTTCCCCGCTCTGCCCCTTCCCCGCTCTGCCCCTCTCGCCCTCCCCGCCCCTCTCCCCGTCCCGCCCCTCTCGCCCGCCCCGCCCTTCCCCGCCCCGCCCCTTCCCCGCCCCGCCCCTTCCCCGCCCCGCCCCTTCCCCCGCTCTGCCCCTCTCGCCCTCCCCGCCCCTCTCCCCGTCCCGCCCCTCTCGCCCGCCCCGCCCTTCCCCGCCCCGCCCCCTCGCCCGCCCCGCCCCTTCCCCGCCCCTCTCGCCCTCCCCGCCGCCCCCCTCCCCGCTCCCCTCCCTCCCGCTCTGCTCGCTCTGACCCGGGGCTGCCCCCTCTCCTAGGCTCCGGCCCCCTCCACCCCCACCATCTTCCCACCTAGCCCCCATTCCGAAGCCTCTCGACCGCGGGCCGGCGGGACACTCACCAGCGCTGCCGGCCGCGGCGCTCGGCCTCCACCGTCTCCCGCCACAGCCGGTCCTGCGGCGCGCCCGGCGCCGCCCGCGGGGCCCCCGGGGCCCCGGGCCTGGAGCGCGGCGGGCGGCCCCCAGCCGGGGGGGTTCTCTGGGGCTCGGGGGCGAGGTGAGCCTGCATGGCGGAAGGGTGTGCGCGTGTGTCAGACAGACAGACAGACAACCTCCTCCGGCCCGGCCCGAGGGGGCTCCCGCCTCTTCCGCCTCCCCCTCTCCCCCAGCCCGCCTATAACCGGGTCTCCTGACCCCCGGGAGCCCGCACCCGCCCCGGCCCCGGCCCGGCCCCGGCCCGGCGGCTGCGGGACCCAGCCGGCGGCTCGGAGAGGTTGTGTTGACAGTCGTCGTCCTGGGAACCAAGGGGCGGGCGGAGGGTGTGCGTGCGTGCGTGTGTGCGTGCATGCGTGCGTGTCTGTGTGTGCGCGCGTGCATGTGTCTGTGTGCACGTGTGTTTCTGTGTGTAGGTGTGTCTGTGTGCGTGTGTGCATGTGCGCATGTGCGCGCGTGTCTGTGCGCGCGTGCATATGTGTGTGCACGCGTGTGTTTCTGTGTGCGTGTGTGCATGTGCGCGCATGTCTGCATGTGTCTGTGTGCACGCGTGCATGTGTGTGTGCACGCGTGTTTCTGTGTGTAGGTGTGTCTGTGTGCGTGTGTGCATGTGTGCGCGTGTCTGTGCATGTGTCTGTGTGCACGCGTGCATGTGTGTGTGCACGCATGTGTCTCTGTGTGTGTGTGCACGCGTGTGAGATGTCTGTCTGTCTGGGTGTAGCTGGTACTGGGGCTTGCGTTCTCACTGAGCTTTTCCTGCTCAAGGCTGGTGCTCTCCCACTCGAGCTCGGCCGTTGCTGGCACTTTAGGAGTTAACTGCAGATAGAAGTCTGTCAGCTTCGCCTGCCCAGGCCGGCTTCTAACCACAGCCTTCCTAGCTCAGCCTTCTGAGTAGCTAGGATCAAAGGTAGGAGCCACCAGTGCCCAGATGGTTGTGTGTGTGTGAGTGCGTGCGTGCTGGTACTGGGGCTTGAACTCAGGTCTGTCCCTGTCCCTGAGCAGTTTGCACAGAGCTAGTGCTCTACCACTTGAGCCACAGCTCCACTTCTGGCTTTTTTTGGTGATTAATTCGAGATAAGAGTCTCACAAACCTTGCTGCTTGGGCTGGTTTCCAACTACCATCCTCAGATCTCTGGCTCCTGAGTGGCTGGATTACAGCTGCGAGTCACCACACCTGGTTCCCTTTTTAAATTAGAGAATTAGAGACACATTTCACGTTCCTCTTTTTCATCTTTGTTCTTACGACTTGAACTGGTTTCTTAGAGGTGACCAAACCATTGCTTACTTTTCTCTCTCTCTCTCCCTCTCCCTCTCCCTCTCTCTCTCTCTCTCTCTCTCCCTCTCCCTCTCCTTCTCTCTCTCTGTCTCTCTGTCTCTGTCTGTCTGTCTCACTTTCTCTCGTCGTGTGGCTTGAATTCTGGGCCTAGGCACCGTCCCTCAGCATTCCAGCTCAAGGCAAGTGCTCTATCACTTGAGCCACAGCGCCACGTCCGGTTTTCTGGTGGTTTATTGGAGATAAGAGTCTCATGGACTTCCCTGCCTGGGTTGGCTTGAACCGTGATCCTCAGATCTCAGCCTCCTGAGTAGCTAGGATGATAGGCGTGAGCCACCCCGGTGCCTGGCCATGCTCACCACTTTCTAATGTGGGGCACTCCCTGTTTTTCGGATTTGGCATGAGCAGAGATGAGCGTTGTCGAGCCTCTGTTTCCTGCTGCGGCAGGCACCTTCCCGGGGTGGAATGCCAGGAGGGATGGGCACCTGCATGGCTGGAGTTGGGGGTTGGCCGTGTGCTGGAAGCTGGGGACCAGCCTTGAGCTGGGGTCCCAGACTCATGGGACAGCAGAGAGAGGAAAAGACATGAAGCCAAGAAGGGAGAGACATATGGGAAGGGGCCCGGAGACACCCACCATGAGCTTCCAGGGACCCTGAGCTGGGGTCCCTCGGGGATACGTGGCACTCCCTGAGAGTCAAACTCAGAGTCCTCACTGGAGGCCACACAGCAGACACCTGCTGTCTGGCGTGTGCCTTGCCCCCAGATGCCCCAAAGGAAGCAGGCATTCAGACCAAATCTCGCACACAGTTTAGGCACAGTGGGCCACCCATCAGGAAATAGGGGGATCCCTCCCCAAATTCAAGCCTCTAGACTTCTCTATGTATTTCCAAAGATCAGTCTAGTTGGGGCGTCGGCAGCGTCTGCAATACACTTCTAGGCCAGCAGGGAGCAGCCTGGAGCTTTGCATCTTCCGGTTTTCTGGTGGTTTACTGGAGATGAGTCTCACGGACGTTCCTGCGGGGTCTCGCTCTGCCGGGTCTCTCTTTGAATCATTATCCTCAGATGTCAACCCCTGAGTAGCTAGGATGACAGTCATGACCCCCCAGCACCTGGCTACTGTGATCACTTCTCATCAGGATGAGTGCCTCGTCCAGACAAGGTGTCTGTGAAGGACCAGTAGATTGGGGACATGGAGGTGTCAGCCGTGGATCTGGGGAAGGAAACGCACTCAGATAGGGCCCATTTACCAGTGGGTACGCCAGCCAGCGAGGTGTTTCTAAACGTTTGCCGACAGGTAGACCCAGACATCAATCACCAGGAGGGACTCTGGGACTTGGCCCTGTGCAGGTGGGAGAGGTCTTAGGGGCAGGGGCTGAGCAGCGCTCTTTACTGGTTGGCTTTAGGTGGATCAGTATTTCAGCATCTGGAGCACCAGGATGAGGGCTGTGGGTTTCTCAAGTGGCTGCGGTCACGTGCCATCTCTCCCAGCTGGTACTCTGGTCTCCTGGGGCTGCTAATGAGAACCTGGGCTCTTCCCTAGAAGGCAAAGAGGGGGACCAGGCTGCTTTGCCTTTTTATTCTAAGCCCCAACTGTGGGATGCACCGTCGCGGCCCTGGCTGACCCAGGGACCCCGGCTAGCTCCGGCCTGTGCCAGCTTTCACCCTGAGCTGGGCTTGGCCGCCCTTTGCCTAAGCCCAGCTCATCCACTGGCTGTGCTGCCTGGCAGTTCTTTTATATCTTTAAAATATAAGAAGTTATGCATAGATGTTTCAACTGTTGGTTTCTGAGGACAATGCATCCTGATCAGTGTCACCCCTTCTTCCATCCTCCTCCCCACCCCTCCCAGCCCCACCCCTCCCCTCAGGCTATCTGGCTCCATTTTCACATACAGCGCTCCACTTTTTTTTTTTGGCGGTTGTGGGGCGCTGTTCCTCAGCTCTTCAGCTCAAGGCGAACGCTCTACCCACTCGAGCCACAGTGCCACTTCCAGTTTTCTGGTGGTTTATTGTAGATAAGAGTCTCATGGAGGGGCTGGGAAGGTGGCTCAGTGGTAGAGTGCTTGCCTTGCATGCATGAGGCCCTGGGTTCGATTCTTCAGTACCACATAAGCAGAAAAAGCCAGAAGTGGGGCTGTGGCTCTAGTGATAGAGCGCTAGCCTTGAGCTGAAGAGCTCAGAGACAGTGCCCAGGCCCAGAGTTCAGGCCCCATGACCAGAAAAAAAAAAAGAGTCTCATGGACTTTCCTGCCTGGGCTGGCTTTGAACCATGATCCTCAGATCTCAGCCTTCTGAGTAGCTAGGATTACAGGTGTGGGCCACTGGTGCCTGGCTTGCTTTTTTTTTTTTTAAACATTAAATCAATCCTCAACATTCACTGGCGGGTCTGACTGGTCTACTGATGTTACCCCGACTTTGATCTCTACACTCCATGGTCAGGCTTCTCAAATTGGAGGAATTGGGAGGTGAGTAATTTCACACTGCAGATGATTCATAACCAGGCAAGAGGAAGAACTCACACAAATGGAAGACCACGTGAGGAGTCAAGACCTTGGGAAAAAGCCCAAATCTGAAAACAGGAAATGCCACTCTAGTTTCCAAGAATGGCCCTAAGGAGAATTCTAGAAATCAGCTAACAGAAGTGGCCAATTTTGAACAAGATCCCAGTGTAGAACAATTTTTAAATGGTTACTAGGGGAATGGAAGTCTGATTTCTTGGGGACGGCGCATGGTCACTGAGACCTGACCTTGTCTCATGTTGAGGGGTTGAGGGGTGGTTGGGTTTGCTGCTCAGGGGAGGATGTGTGCCAGAACTGGGGCTTGAACTCAAGCCCTTGCACTCTTTTTATTTTTTATTTTTTTTTGTCACTGGGCTTGAACTCAGAGCCTGGGCACTATCCCTGAGCTTTTTTGCTCAAGGCTAGCACTCTACCATTTGCACCACATTTTCACTTCCGGATTTAAGGTGGTTAATTGGAGGTAAGGGTCTCATGACTTTCCCGCCCAGACTGTTTTTGAACCACGATTCTCAGATCTCAGCCTCCTGAGTAGCTAGGATTACTCTTGCTTGGCTTTTTCCACTCAAGGCTGGTGCTCTCCCACTTGGACCCACCTCTACTTCCTGCCCTTTTGCTGATTAGTGATAAAGAGTTTCTCGGATTTGTCTGCCACCCCTCAGCCTGTGATGATAGGTATGAGTCACTGGTGTCTGGCGAACCTGAGTTGCTGTAACTCCAGCCACAAACACAGACTACCCAAGATGGCACGTGGGGGCGGAGTCGAGCTGGAGGCCGGCCTCAGCCTCACTCAGGGTTCTTCGGCAGGGGCCAGTTACTGGTGCCCTGCACCCACTTATCTCTTAGTCTTGGGGTTCATGTCCATTTATTTTTTTCACTTTGACGGTTGAGTTGTAACCCCAGCAAGCAGCAGATGGCCAGCTGGGGTGATTAGAAAGGCCACACTCTCCGTGGTTATTCCTCAGCCTTCCAGGGAGCCTGGAAAATGGATACAAATGCACAGCAAGAGTCTGGCAAAGCAGGCACAGACATTGCTGGTCCTATTTGGCGGGGAATGCCAACAGCTGTGCGAGGCTCTGAGGCCTAATTCTGAGAGTGGAGAGAATGACAATGCATCGCACAAGCGAGAGACGTGGAACATCTCCTTCGCTTTGCTTCCTGGGAAAAGGAGGAGGAAGGATGAAAGGAAGAAAGGGAGGGAGGAAAGGAAGGAAGGAAGGAAGGAGATAAACAGGAAGCTTGACTAGGGACTTTAGCCTGGCATGGTGGTACATGCCTGTAAGCTCAGCA